TTTCCCCCCCCCCCCCCCACTCTAGGGAGGCTGTGGATTGCATTTTTCATCCACCCTCACAGCTCCAAATCAATTAACCAGTGATGCAGTCTAAACCTACCCAGATCAGCTGGATATTGTTATATTAATATATAGTTTTATAAATGCATATTTGTCCCTTGGGTCAAGGACAGGGTCCCTTCAGGTCTGGATGGGAATGGTAGCAAGTCTTCTGGCCTCCATGTAGCTGCACATAGATTTGGCAATGGCTTTGCTTTATTGGGGCTCTCCTGGGGTAGCACCAGCCCTGTGCTGCTCCTGCAGCCTGGCTCTTGGTCTAAATATTTCTTTGGGATGGAGCTTTGGGAGAGATGCTCTGCCCCAGAGGTGGCCATGAGGGTTTCTGAAGGGCAGCAGGGGAGATGTTGACCCTCCTGCAGGGGCACGCACAGCTCCAGGTCTCACCCCGAGCACTGCTGTCATGACATGGGGGACTTTGTGAGCACAGTGGGGGCCACTGGGACAAGCAGGATGAGGCCATGGCCCTTCTCTTGCAGGGATCAGCCTCTTTCTCCGCCATGCTGACATTCTGGTGGGAGCAGCCATCATGGCTGGCCTGGTGATGCTGGTGGCTGCCGGTGCCCTGTGCAGGGTGGCCAGGTGGGGACTGTGCCCCAGGAGGAACCGGAGCCCTGAGGAGCCACCGGTGAGGGCTGTGGAGGAGCCAGCCATGGAGCTGCATGACCTGGGGGAGTGCCTGCGACTTGACCCCTTCCAGCTGAAGCTGCCGGCCAGGCCCCCGTTTTCCCGGCCCCACCCCAGCCGGGCGTACCGGGTGTTTCTGGAGCAGTCCCCCCAGCTCTGAGGGGGTCCTGGGGCTCGCCCAAACTCCCTGTGGCTCTGGTGTCCTGCATAGTCACTCCTGCCTTCCCTGGCCAACACAAGCCACTGGCTGTGCAAACCCTTCTGGTGTGTTTTATGGACCACGAATATCCCACCACAGTCTTCCTTGTCTTGTCATTTAATTCTTTTAATGCTTGGTAAACAAAGTGCTTGCTCCACACTGCTGTACATCTCCTGACTCACCCTGCTTGAGAGCTGTGCAGAACTGTCAGCACATGGAAATTAAACCCTTTTTTTTTTTTTTAAGGAAAAAAGGAAATAAGATGTTTTGGTGCTTAATTTAAGAAATTAAAAATTATTCTGCATCTGTGCTCAGTGCTGCCTGCTTTCCCCTGCCCCTAAGGCAGACCTCTATGGGAAGCCCTGGCATGGCCTGAGGATTTGGGCAGGGGGCCTCTTCCAGCCTGGCTAAGAAACATGCCCAGAGCTTGACTTAAAGCTTTGGGGAGACTCCTGGCCACGTTATGGCACATGGACCCCCTGTCATTGAATGATGGGGATGGCATTTTTGGTGCTTGCATGAATGCTGCTTGCTGAGATGCTGGCTGCAAAAAGCACCACAGCCAAATAAATCCTCCTTATGGGCAGTAAAGCACAGTTGTCTCCCCAGC